CTGGCCTGGACATACAGTAATTGGGTACATGTGTGTGCATTTGTACAAAGCCTTCTGTACAGAGGAAGCAATCAGTTATTTATCACGTGGACAAACCACCTCTAGGCCCCCAAGACAATTTGGTTTGTCTGCTATTAGTAGATGACTCTTGGCCATATATCTGGCCAATCTGTTTATTATCCATCCACCCACCCACCCATCCATCCATCCATACACCCACCCATCCACCCATCCATCCATCCATCCATCCATCCATCCATCCATCCATCCTCCCTCTCATCCACCCATCCATCCATCCATCCATCCACCCACCCATCCATCCATCCATCCATCCATCCACCCACTCATCCACCCATCCATCCATCTATCCTTTTATACACCCAGCAAGTTGCTATTGTAGTTACAGGTTTTGATTCCATACTCCAGGGTCAGTGCTGGGGCCAGAATCCCAGAAAATGAAGTCAGAAGTGTCGGGGCACCAAGCCTAGCTTAAAACTCTTGCTAAATCTGCAGAAAGGTGTGCTTGCAGCTTTGTTGGGATGGGCAATAGCTTTCTTTGGGATCCTACATGGACCTGGCAGGGATTATACATTTTGGAGCTTCATACTCAAAATGAAATCTCAGGCCTTGCTGACTCCTGCCCCTTTCACAGTGTTCTAGAATTCCTCCTGGTGTCCCCCCAACCCCGCCACAGGAGGAAGCAAAACTAAGTGGCAGCTCCGCATGTAGGCTGCTGCAGATGTTGCAGAAATGCTGTGGTCTTCCTTTTCAGGCAAAGGGACTGGGACCTTTGTAGAAGTCCCAACTCTGCAGATACAATTGCTCCTCTAAATCAGAAGACTGTGTTATTATGCTTAGCTCCATTAATATGCATTTGACTGATGTGTGCATGCACGTGTGTGTGTGTGAATATGTGTGTGTGTGTGTGTGTGTGTAGCATGGAAGAGAAGGAATGTAGCCTGGTTTATACTTACTACAAACAGGGAACTCTTTACTCCGAGTCAACGCATGGGGATATAAGAGGGTTCGTAAACATCCAGATATTTTGTACAAACTTTGCAAGACAGGCTGTGTAGCCTTCCTCAGATTCTCAAGGGGGCCCAAGACCCTAGGGACAGTAGGAATCCCTGCTCCAGAAGGAACTGGCTAGTGACTGCGGGAACCCACTCCCCAACTGTCTTCCTGATCTCATTTCATAATGCCCCAGGCCTTTGCTGTTGCCAAAATGTACTGGCTTGCGGCCTGAGAAGGCAGGCCTTTGTCTGAGTTAGTTCTGCCACCTACAGCCCAGCAAAGCCAGCACAGCTCCACAGCAGGCTCGTTTGCACACGTGAATAAAGGGGAAGGCTGCCTTTCTGGGCTGGGAACCCTCACAGGAAGAAAAATGGCTTTGGGGATTACTGATTAGTATTCAGAGATACGAACTCCTTTGGGGTGGGTTACAGCGATGGGAAGATATTTTTACATTAAAGGGAAAGGAATAAATCCTGAGGATTAGCACCTGAAAAAAGTGCTGCCCAAAACCCAGGGAGGAAAGGCAACCCCGCAAGAAATAAGTAGATAATGAGCTCGCAGGTTCTCACGATAAATGCAGCTCTCCCATGTGCTGGTATGTTCCATGGCCCCTGCCCTTCTGTGTCCTCAGAGGTCACTTTTGCCATCTAACTTGTCGTGTAATGAAAAGACTTGCTTCATAAAGATGTGATTCCCAAAGATGCTCGATGTATAAACCAGGGTAGTTTTCTTAATATGCTTAAATCATTCTGAAGGGGACCTGAGACTGAGGCAGAGATGGTGTTATCCTCCTCATTATGTCCCTAGCACCAAAGTAGAGTGCCTGACACATAGGAAGAAGCTCAACAAATGCTTGTTGATTTGAAATAATAGAAATGTCATTTGTTTCACAATCTGTGCTGTTCTTGCTAATACAGAATTGTAATATCTACTGTTTGTTGAACTCTGATGTATCAGACATATTATCTCAAATTCTAACAATGATACACAATATGGATATTGTTTTACAGGTGAAACTGAGACCCAGCACTATCAAGGGGCTCACCCAAGGATGTACACCTAGTGACAGAATGAATACAGGACAGACATCCATACCTACACCTCTTGAGTTTTAAGTCCATGCTTGTTCCACTCCATTCCATGTATTTTACATCCACTGTAAGCCCATTTCTCAAAAATGGGGAATGGGCCAAGAGGAAATGGTTGAAAACCTAACTTTGTTATTTTAGTTTTAAAAGGAAACAGGGAATCCCTGGGTGGTGGAGTGGTTTAGCGCCTGCCTTTGGCCCAGGGCGCGATCCTGGAGACCCAGGATCGAGTCCCACGTCGGGCTCCCGGTGCATGGAGCCTGCTTCTCCCTCTGCCTGTGTCTCTGCTTCTTTCTCTCTCTCTGTGTGTGACTGTCATAAATAAATAAAAATTAAGAAATAAATAAATAAAAGGAAACAGTGTTTTTCTAGTCCTTAGAATTTCCCTGAAAGCATTTCTTACTAACGTAGCTTAATAATGGATGCAAACATCTTCTGACCCTGTCTGAATCTAGCAATGGTTTTCCTTTGATGGATAATCCACTGTTATCTCTGTAGAGATGACTGTGGAATTCTTCACTCCGTTTGGACTGGTGAGCATCAGTGGCTGGTGGAGACTCAAGGCTGTCTATAGCCTGCACAGACTTTGATTTCAGCAAGGAATTCTTAATGGAGTCTTCATAGTGTGGGAATGTGGAGTTAATTGCAGAGGAATTCCCGCTCTTTCATGGGTTCTTCCTTACTAACATTTTAAGTTTCAGAAAGGACTCCAAAATAAGTAAGTAAGAAGATATACAAGATTGAAGATGCCCCATAACTAATCCAGATCTCATTACTTGACAGCCTGATTCAGTAGGGTTGAGTAGCTTTGTCTCTTTGGCTCACACTGTACTTGAGTCATTCAAGCTTCGAAATATTGCTCTCTTCCTCTGAGAAACTGCAATGGGGAAGAGATTACAATTGTCCTTTTCAATGGAGTTAGAGGTTTGAGCCAATCTTAGATCATCAACAGGTAAAAAGGGCAGAGAAATTTTTCTAGATGAAGGTAATCTTGATATATCATGCTTAGGCTTGAGAAGAGAGGAAGAGCATGGGCATGTGAGGTTAACTGAAAAAACAAAGTAGAATTCAAATGGAAACCATGGTGAATTTGCACATCTTACTGTTCATATGTATCTATCCTAAAGCCCAGCATATGTAGGGCAACAGACCTCAAACTTTAGTAATATGTATCCGAGTCAGACAGGAGCATGCTTTTCCAAAAGGCAGATTCAGGACCTCAGGTCCAGACCCAGTGAAACAGAAGGGGAAGAGCCTGGAAGTCTGCATTTTTAATAGTCAACTCATTTGGTTCTTTTTTTAAGATTTTATTTATTTATTCATGAGAGACAGAGACAGACAGACAGAGTGAGAGGGAGAGAGAAGCAGAGACACAGGCAGAGGGAGAAGCAGGCTCCATGCAGGGAGCCCGATGTGAGACTCTATCCCAGGACCCCGGGATCATGACCTGGGCCAAAGGCAGGCGCTCAACCCCTGAGCCACCCAGGGATCCCCATGATTCTGATGGAAGTATTCCTTAGACCATACTTTCAGGAACAATGACGAGGAGAAATCCTCCATTCCTTCTAAGGACACCTTAAATGCATCCATTCACTTGAGCCAAACCTAGGAAAACAGAGAGAAAAGGCACAGTCTGGGCATTCAAAGAGCTCAAGGTCAAGTAGAAAAGAGACTTGGAGATGCAGATGGTAGCAAAGCATGGATGAATAAGTTCATAGAGCAGAAAGGGTTGGGTGCATGGGAGAACCATAGAGAGGCACCCAATTCAGCCTGCATAGGAGAAGTGCACGAAGTGGAGTTGAAGGTGTAACAGAAGAAGTAACCTTGTCTTCAAGGATGAGTGGGCATTAGCCAAGAGAAGAGGGAAGAATTGCAGGTAGAGGGAACCCAGTGGACAAAAAGCAGCATGTCCTCTGAGTAATGACAGAGGGGAGTAGAAAAACAGATGAGTGATGAACGTGGAGACTGCACATCTGCCTTTCATAATGAAATGCTGTTTCTCCACGTGGAAGAGTGCTTTGCCACTATGTATATGGCTGTGTCGTGGTCTTTGTCTTCTTAGATCCAGCACTCTCAATGCAGCAGTATTCCGATGAGCTTCCAACTGAGAAAGAATTCAGAAAAGTTCAAGGCAATCCTAAATGGATTTACCTTCCTGTTTCATTCATTAATCTTTGTCATCAGATGTCTTGAACCAAAGTAAATCTGAAAAATCTAACCAAAGGAGGGAAAAAAGCAATCATGTACGGAGCCACAGAAAAAGCTCCCACTCTGAACTAATGTTGGCATATGTTACTGACATTATCATTATGTGTAAAATACAAATGAGTACATGAATAAAAATAAAATAGTGTTTGTCGTGGGCCTTGATAAGAATTAGGATCAAAAAAGTACTTGTAGTTGCCACTTTGTTCTCCCCAGTTTAAAAGATGGCTTTCACTGCCACATAATCTACATAAACTAGCATTGTAACTCACAGTGTGTGGTTATACAAACAGGAACAACAGCAGAAACCAGAGTAGAAATCAGAGCATGCTGTGCACCATGGAAGAGAGCTTTTTTCTTTAACCAGAAAGAATCATTTGAATTCAGAATAGAGCTTACATATATCCACCCAACAGTTTGTACAGAATGTGTCTCTGGATGTGTGTGTGTGTCTGTGTGTGTGTAAATCACATTCAGCTCTAATATGCTATTATAAATAATAGTAAATAAAGCGGGCATTATCAAGTGTTGGTAATATTTCTTTTCCTCCAAACTTGCATGGACAAAATCAAAACCAGGGGGGGGGAAAGAAAAGTACCTTTGAGCTTTCTAATTGTTTCCAGCTGTTAACATTATTTATTGCCAATAATATTATCAACTAGTGAAACACCGATGTCTTTGAACTTTTTGCAGTTGTGTGTAATACTGGAGCCAATGCAGGAACTGATGTCGAGACATAAAACTTACAACCTCAGTCCACGAGACTGCCTGAAGACCTGCTTGTTTCAGAAGTGGCAGCGGATGGTGGCACCGCCAGGTACGACCTCGTTCTTCACTCTTGTTCCAAATACACTTTCTGAGGCCTCTTTGGGGGATAAAGTGATGTGAAAAGGAAGGAAGGAATCGTAAATTTGTCAGGAAATGTAGTTTCTTACGGATATTTGGACTTGGGGACGTTGAATTTGTGAAGTACAAGCATCCTTAGGAATCATCTACAATCTCACTTAGGACCTGAAACCCAGAAGTCTGTTGATTTATTTAATGTTACAAAGCCGAAGTCAAAAGCAAGGTTCCCTGCCTTCCAGTCCACTGGCTGTTCCATTGGACAAGACTGATGTCTTCTCGTGGCCTACTGTTATTTTGCTTGTGTGTGTTTTTTTTAAAGAATGATAGAAATTATGGGAAGGATGGAAAGGAGGGAGTATGGAAAGAAAGAAAAAAAATAAATAAATTTGCTCCCTTTTTAAAGATAGATCTAGTATCAAAGGGTGCTCTGATCATGAAGAGAATACATAAAAGATTCCATTTTCCACACTTCCTTAGAATGCAGTTTAGATACTATAGTCTCCTGCTGGGGCTCTGAAATTACTGCTTCCAGTTATCATTAATTGTCATTCTATCTAATACATTTTTACTCCCAGGCGTATGTCGAGCCTCATTGATCATAAAAGCAAAATGTATCCGTTTGCTAAAAATTATTTTTATAAAGAGTAATTATTAACACGAAGCACATAGCTTTCTGAATCACAAAATAGAATGGTCACCTTCTACTGGTAATGGCCCAGGCATTTTGTATGAAATGAATATAGTAGACTTCACCAAGTACCTATTTAGAAATCCGAGAAAGCGAGCATCATCTTACATAGAATAGTTACATCCCGGTCTTAGAGGAATTTTAGACATTTGGAACATGATTTTTCAATGTTGTTAAATGTGCTTAAATTATTTTCTCTTTCAATATCAATAAAGCTTTCTGGGAAAAAATATTTTACACAATAAATGCCTTAAGAACCCATGTTTTCCAAAATTTGCATATATAATTTCTATATTATTCATTAATCACTCATTCAGTAGTTATTGACTGAACCCCTACTAGGTGTCAGGTGCTGTTCTGGTCACTGGGAGTACAGCACCGAATGGAACAGTGAGAAATCCCAGCGCTCCCAGATCTTCTGTTCTCTTATTGAATCCTCAAAATACCCTTATAAGGCATTTCATGTTACTTCCATTTTAAATGTACAGGGCCTGAGATTTAAGTAATAATTTGCTTAATATTAGTAATAATATTATAGTAATAATAGTACTGAAGGAGGTCTGTGTCACAATAGGTTTTTACATCTCCAGAGTTCATGACTCTATTACCTCAGTTACCTGCTGCCCATGGGAGTAATTCAGAGTATGCAATTTAGGCATATTCCCCCAAATTTCATAAAGGAAGCACAGATATCAAAAAAAGTAGCTGATTTTAATTTTCGAGGTAAAGGACGAAGTTTGTCAGAAGAACTAAGTACTTGCTTGACTTTGAATGTGTCACTCAGCTCCTTCTTAGTGCCATGAGCTGGAACAATTCTATTTCCTATTTCCCCAACCTTCGGGACAAGCACCCATAACTCTCTATGGATAGATATGTTAGGCCCTTTGATGAAAAATCTTTGAACATAAAAGACAAAATATTGTATTGACATATTGGTTAAGCATCATCAATATTGACAAAATATTGAAAGGAAACAAATGGGTGTATAAATAGGAACATAATCCCCTTCTTCCTCAAAAGCCAGGGATAATTTGGTGGACTAGGCTGTCTTTGAAAGAAGCCTTAAAGGAGATCCTGCCCCCTGCCCATCAAAAGAAGGAGGCAGGATCTCTCTCTCTCTCACTTGGATCCAGTATGGCCCTGGCTCATCTTCTCTCCATCAGAGTTGGGTCAAGACTAGGGTTAGCAAAAAGGATGCTCTTGCATGCCATTTCCAACTTAGTGACTGCCTGGAAAAAGGTTCTGAAGATGCCTCATTTACAAATCACAGGTCAGAATAGTATTTAATTAATAGAGTTGCTGTGAATATGAAATAGTCATGACAAAGAAACCATGAAGAACATGAAAACATTGAGTAACACTCACTACATAATATATAAATAAATACTATTCATCTGACTGCACATCACCATGTGTTTTCATGAAGACATTGCCCATCCATCCAGTCCAAAATATTTTCCTGTTTCTAAACAGGACTTTCTTTTTTTTTTTTTAAGATTTTATTTATTTATTCATGAGACACACACACACAGAGAGAGAGAGAGAGACAGAGAGAGAGAGAGAGGCAGAGACACAGGCAGAGGAGAATCAGGCTCCATGCAGGGAGCCCGACATGGGACTCGATCCTGGTCTCCAGGATCACGCCCTGGGCTGAAGGTGGCGTTAAACCACTGAGCCACCCAGGATGCCCTAAACAGGACTTTCTTGAAAAGATCTAGTCCCTCTTCGTGAATATGCCGGCTGTGGCACACTAAGACATCTTAACACCCAGGGACTTTGAAATTAGTAGCATTCTTTAAACATCGGTGTCCAAACCATGCAACATGAGAACCATACTGAGCTTGGGACCCTACATTCTACATTCATGGCTGACAGAACTCACGCCTCCCTTTCTGTGTACTTAAGCATCTCTAGGTGTGATGGCACTGGGGTGCAACAGGGCGCTACCAGGAGATGCTGCTACACAGGTTCACCACCTTAGCTTGGTTTCAGTCCTTTCTCTTACACCTCAGAGGCCCCCTACCCCCAAGGGAACCCAGGGCCCTCCTTTTGCTCTAAAGAAACAATAGTCCAGAGGTGCCTGGGTGGCTCAGTTGGTTAAGCATCTGCCTTTAGCTCAGGTCATGATCCCAGAGTCCCAGGATCAAGCCCCCCCATGGGGCTCCCTGCTCAGTGGGGAGCCTGTTTCTCCCTCTCCCCTTCTCCTTCCCTTGCTTGTGTTCTCTCGCTCTCTTTCTCTCTCTCAAATAAACAAATAAAATCTTTTTTTTTACTTTTTTATTTTTTTAATCTCTTTTTTTTAAATTTTTATTTATTTATGATAGTCACACAGAGAGAGAGAGAGGCAGAGACATAGGCAGAGGGAGAAGCAGGCTCCATGCACCGGGAGCCCGACGTGGGATTCGGGATCGCGCCCTGGGCCAAAGGCAGGCGCTAAACCGCTGCACCACCCAGGGATCCCCTTAATCTCTTTTTTTTAAAGGAAACAACAGCCCAGAGAAAAATGCTTTACCCAATTCTGTAACGATAATATTTTTAACTCCAGTATAAAAGTGGTATTTGAGGCTGCCCCCTAAGGTATATTAATAGATTCCAGACACATATATCACAATGAAACACAAATCATTTTATCTAGATACCAAAGAAGAGAATTGCACGCATTTTGTGCTACAGATAAAACAAGGGCTCCCTCCCTTCCCTCTGTGTAAAGTTAAAAGAAATGGAAACAATTTAGAGTCGACTCTTTTCAGGGTACCAGCAAGGCGTCCTTGGAGGGACACTATTCCGACCGTCGCCCTGGAACTGATCCTCCGTGTCCATTTTTCATTGTGCAGCAGAACCCACAAGGCAGCCGACAACCAAACGGAGAAAAAGGAAAAACTCTACCAGCAGCACTTCCAACAGCAGCGCCGGAAACAACGCCAACAGCACCGGCAGCAAGAAGAAGACGCCGGCCGCCAACCTGAGTCTGTCCAGTCAGGTACCTGTAAGTCTCTCTTTCCTTTTAGGCCTGAAATCCTGCCTTTGCCTGTCTTCCACCTGCAGGGGCCCACGTGAAAGCCTCCTTGAGCCCCAAACGCCAGTTGAGGGCGGGGGGGGGGGGGGCAGGTGGGGGCCGGGGTGGCATGGGGGGGAGGAGCTCTGCCTTGGAAACCTTCCCTTGCAACCTGGGAATTAGGGAGGAATATTAAGAGTCTGTGCTGCGCAGGGACCTGAATTAAAAAGCCGTCAGAGTCACAGACAGGAGATATGTCACTTAAGGTTTAATTAAAATATCACTTAGCGGCAATGCCTGGTGGCACAGAAGGGGCTCTCAGCACCATCACTGGAGACCCTGTGCTCCACTGGAAACTCGCTCCCGGCGTTCAGGCTCCGTATTGTAATTGGATTGGGCCTTCCCGACATGGGTGTCCCTTCGTATTTTAAGACTCAGGTAATTAACTCCTGGCCACTAAAAATGCAGCTCAGTGGATTCCACTTTACCCATTTCATGAGCTCAGGGGGAGGGTCGGCCCCTGGTTTGGTCTCAACTCTCTTGACCTCTTGACCCTTTCTTTCATTTCTGGGTCTTGACCAAGGAAATGGGCCACGTAAAAGGGGGCTTCTTTGAACTCCAAGGCTGACAGCTGATGGGTGTCCCCAGATAGTACACCGTGTGGGCCCTTTCTTCGTCTTTCTCCATCTTCTATTACTTTTAATTTCAAGTTCTGTCCTGTCTGCTCAGTTACTTCCTAACTCCAAATCCCTCAGCCCAGTGTCATTTATTGCTTTTAAATTCTCTCACTCCTCTAAGCATTTCTTGTCGCACGTCCCCTCCACGATTACTTGTGGGCACTCCTTCTCTGCTGCCCTTGTCATACCACCCCGTCACCCGGCGTTTGACTGTCGTTTGAGCCCTGACACTTCCGTGGTGCTTCATGGAAATCCTCTAGATACCATGTCTTGGGAAATGTGCTCTATTTCTTATTACTTCCCTCCACCAATGCAATTTGACTTTTCCACCTGTTTCTCACCTTTTTCCCCTCTTGGTCTGTTGTCCTCACATCTCTCTCCATGTGAGAGTGGACCCTTCTTTCATGGGGATTCTCCACTGACTTCTAAATGTGTCTTTCAAACCTGTCCCCAACCCACTTTTACCCACTTTCCATCAGTCCGTTTTCTTTGGCTAAAACCAACCCCATCGGTACCTGAGAACCCCCTGGGCCACTTTTCTCCTGTCTTCGATAGACAGAGGGTATGGTTTTCATCCTTATTGCACTAGAAAGAAAGGGTCATGGAGAGAGTGGCCAGCCTGTGGGGAAGGTACCATTTTAATTTTAAGGCTGCTAGGAATTATAGTCTTTAAATAATGCCAGACTCACCTCTGTTTTCTGAACTGGGCTAAAGAGTCAGACAAAAAAAAAAAAAATCAAAGAAGAAAAACAGAGTCTTTTTATTAAAATACCAATAAGTTAGGCCCATTCCTGGTTAAATTGGAAAATGCATAGAGAAAATGGCCTGGTATAAATAAATCAACCCCAAAGTGCTCAGAAGTAGCCCATTATTCATCTACTCCTGGAATTTTAGAAACTAACATTTGTCAGTTTCCCCTAGCGAATGAGAGTACATTCCAGAGAGTTCAGGAACTGTGACATCGGTACTTAAAAGGCACATTGGCTGCAAGAATTTAGTTCAGTTCAACAAATGTTTCCCGAGCTCCTACTATGTGCCCCACACTATACCAAGAATCAAGAAACGACAACAAAAACCCAGCCTGTTATTGAGGAGCTCAGCATCTACTCAAGGGATGGCCAAGAGGTTTCCTCTTTTCCTGCCAGCTCAGTCTCCTAGTATCAGCTAACAGGGTCCAGCACCGAGTAGGATTCTGAGGCCTAGCCTGAGTTTGGTGGGCTGTCCATTAGTGATGTCTGCCTCAGGAGTAGAATAGTGGCATAAGTGTCATGTATTTTGACATACCTGGCCTAGTTGGAAACATCTCAATTTTATTTTAAAGGGCACATAGTTTGTTCTACTCCCTTATGCTCTTATTCTCCAGCCCAGCACTTGCATCTTAGTGGATAGCTGTGTCCAGAAGGGTTCTTAATGGATTGAGACCCTTTGGATTTGGTAAGAAGGCACCATTAGAAAGCGAGAGCAGAATTTCAGCACGATCCCCGCACCATGCAATTAAAGAGGTTTTAATCAAGTAAAACTTACAGATGGCCAAGAGGGGCAGGGAAAGGCAACTAGGTTAGGAAAAATGTGCACATTTCTGTGTGCGCTCCAGTTGAACGAACATTAAATGATAAACATCGTCTGGCTTGTAGTGGCCACATCTTTTAACCCTGTGTACTGAATTACCAACAAGATTTTGCTGTTAAAATAGAACGTGATCTGCAGCCACGGCTGCCTCGTTCACAGGCACGACCAGATTTTATGTGCCACCGTGACCACAGCTGTGGTCCGCCTAGCTGCCATGGCAGCAACGTGTGTGTCTGGCGAGGACTAGGGTTTAATCCTTGGATTCTGCTTCTCACTCCATGAGCAGGGGCTAGGAGCGATCCCGAACTGCAGCCTCAACCCTGGGAGGGATGGAGACCTGTGTCATTCAACAGCAGTGACCCCTTCTGGCCAATTTAAGGAGAAGCATTGAGGGGCCCTGAAAGGAGTCACTTCCAGTCCTCCTCAGAGGTTGGTGGTCCTTGCACGGGGGATTAGTGAGAAGATGTGACATGGGCAAGAGCTGGTGGCACCTCCAGGCCTCCAGCGAGGAGCGGAGGTCTGCCTCATGGGGAGCCGAGGGCATCTGGGTCACTCTCAGACAGACCGGCCCTGCCTCCTGTGGGACACACGAGATAGCAGACATGGGAAGGAAATGCACCTCTCTCTCACTACCGATGTTGAATGTTGGGGGGATTTTTTAAAATGTGGGGGTGGGGTAAATGGAGCCAACATCCACTAGTGAGAGGCAGCCCAGAACGTGCACTATGTCTCCATTCATTTTGTGTAAGGATAAACCTGAGACCACCTGAGCAGAGAACCACTCGTCTCGTCTGCAGGTTTAGTAGAGCCAGGTAGAGCCCTGTGCATACTTGTGTAAGTGGCCTCAAGTATCTATGTGCATAGGAAGCCCTTAGCACACGCCTCTTTCATAGCTTGCCATCTATCAGTCACTCACACTCGTAAACACAGGATTATGTATCTGGCTAAGGATTTTCTGTCATAATCAGGAAGGCGAATGTGGCACCTCTCTGAAATCTCTGATGCTGCCAAGGATCTATGCCTGGGCATCTTTTCCGGCTATTCCAAACATTACCAACCTATATCAGCCCCATTTGGAATGATTCAAATCACTATTTTCATAGTACTTTTCTTGAATGACTGTTATTTTTCTGATGTGATGAAGGCACCTGGAGTGTTGAGAACCTTTTTCTAATGTCACGCTTAAGCTGCCTTCTTATTTTTCTCCTCTGTTTCCAAATGATGCTTACCTCCCCACACTGTCCCAGCCTCTCTCGATGACCTTGGACTCACAATACTAATGCAGACCCACGTGGTCAGTCCCCACGCCCTTCTCCTGCCCTGTGACACCTCACGCATGTGTTTTCTAACCCCTCCAAAATGTGCTGCACAAAAGTCACAAAATGAGATTAACTCATGTCACCCTCTCCCCAGTCTTGCCCTACTCTTTCTCCCTACCTTTGTTGGCTAACCCGATAACATCCTCTCCTCTCTGGAGAGCACATTCCATCTCCAGTCCTGTCCGTATTCTTGCCAATCAGAGTCCTGTCTATGTTGTACCTCACCTCGAGTCCTTGTGAGTCCTCCTTCCGTGTCCGTGTCACGTCTGGCTCTTTGCTGCATAATCAATACGTTCTTCGAAGCACACTGCTGATTTTCCTGCCAGTACCTATATTGCTGAGTTTACCCAATTTGTACTTGAGGCATTTACTTAATGCTCCTTAAAGTCACGTGTGTCAAATCACAAGAGTGACTAGTCAGAAAACACAGTTTGGAAATCTATTGATTATCTCCCCCATAATTCTCGGGGAATCAATCAATCAAGCCAACAAGGTTTTCCACTCTGAAATCGACCAGGTGGCAATTAAGGGTTCTATTCAATTGGTACCTTCAGAATTCTAGAAGGAACTGGAGGGCCTGCTGGACCTCCTCCTGACCAAAGGCAGTGTTTTACTGTACTGTCCCAGGAAAGCCCCTCCTGCTCCAGTGTGGACAATTTTTGCCCATTTACCAAAGCATTTTGTCCAATTAGCCTCCCTGTCAGGACACGCACCCTTAATAACATCTCCAGAAGCATGTGACTCAGCCCTGCTCTTTCTGGCAGGGGTAGAAGCTGATAGCACTGGGCACTCTCCTGGAGTCAGTGCACTTTTGAGTAGACTATTGCTCACAGGCTGCCCAGCAGTATCACCTGACAGGTGTCCTTCCCTGTGCCCAGGCCACCCATCAACCAACCCCATATGGCCTCCTTTGAACAAAGAGGCCAGAGTTGTGCCCCTTGTATACATCCTTCTCTCCCATCCCCCGTCCCCCATCCCCCATCCCCCGTGCCTCTCCAGCAGTGGCCTCCAGGATACTCCTGGCTACAGTAGGTGGCTTCCTTGTTTGCATGGAAGGACAATTTGTACTTAAAGGAGTGATTAGATGGATTCTTCTCGCACGCTTCCATTTCTGATGACTACCAGCTTCATCAATGTAATTATAATTAGCGCTCTTCATCTTCCTTTTATGGCACCAGCTGGACAGACTGGTTCTCTTTACCGCCCAGATTGGTGGCAGGGTTGCCTGTGCGGGGATAGGTGACAGGCACCATGAAATAACAGATGGTAAATTCAGGGCTTGTTGGCAATCAGCAGGTTTTTGCTAATGACTTAATTAGCTATGCAAATTGTCAAATCAGTGTGAACATTGTTTTTATCGAAAACTTTACCTAAATTAATTACCATAATTAAGTAGCAGAATGTCAAGGATATTGGCTGCATAAAAGGGCCTGGCTGAGTAGAAAAAAGAGAGATTCTGTCTTCAATTAAAATGTATACCGTCCTTGGGACAGAGAGAAAGCCATTTGGAATGAGTCGCGTGAATACTGTAGCCCCGCATCCTCCCCGTGCTGGCTGCTGGTTTCCAGAGCCATTCAGAGGCTTTTTGGAGGTATCGGAAAGCGCCCAGCAGAAGGTTCCACAGCCCTCTCTGAAGTCCCCAATGTCGGCAAGTTCAAAGCGTGGATTTTTTTAATTTTGAAAAATCCATTTTTTTATTTCTGCAGATTGCTAGCATTGCTCGTTCTCCGGTGTCAGGCTGCGCAGTAAGGACATAAACTCGCGTGGTTGTTCCACGTCAGGAGGCAATGTTTATTTCCTGTAGAAATCAAATATGCGTCTCGGCCCCGCCCCCCGACTTTGAGACTTGACCCCCGGTGCACAGCACACGAGCGCGTCGGTCCCAGACCCCCCAGCTCCTCCCACTAGTGTTTTAAGCTGAGCTTCTTGTCCCAAGGTTTCCCTGTAATAATGTCAGCTGCTGTTCACAGGATGTGATGGTGGTAGGAGAGCCAACTCTGATGGGAGGTGAGTTTGGGGACGAGGACGAAAGGCTAATCACTAGATTAGAAAACACGCAGTATGACGCGGCCAACGGCGTGGACGACGAGGAAGACTTCAACAGCCCCCCCGCCCTGGGGAACAGCAGCCCTTGGAGCAGTAAACCCCCCGCCGCTCAGGAGACCAAATCAGAAAGCGCCCCGCCCCAGGCTCCCCAGTGAGACTGACCCCACCCGCCCCCGCGGGCGTGGGCCCTGGGGTGCACCCGGGCCTGCAGATGCCTGCTTACAGGAGAGGAAGGAGGCGAAATGAAAACTTTTCCACGCAAAAACCTGTTTCTGAACCACAATGACCTGAGTTTTGAGTTTCTTTTCTTTCTTTCTTTCTTTCTTTTCCTTTTTTTTTTTTTTGTTTTTTTGTTTTTTTGGGTTTTTTTGTTTTTGTTTTTTGTTTTTTTTTTTGGTCTTTTTTGAATGGAGAGGATTATTCCAATAAACTTCCATGACCCTTCCCTGGAGGCCTTCACAGGTAACGCAGAGACTGGCACTGATCGTAATTAAATCAAGAGGGCAGGCTCGCGCTTCTCCTGGCTCGGTGTTTAACCACATGTTTGTTAACGACCCCCCCTCCCCCCCTCCCCCACCCCCACCCCCACCCCCACCCAACGGAAGGCCATATTGTCAATACGCCCTCAGTGCTCAGGGCCTCATTATATGCCGACCCTAACTACAGATGACTTTTTAATATTGTAAAATCTTTTCTGCTTTTTGACTTGCATCTGAGAGTTTCTTGTTTCAGTAAAAAAAGAAAAGAAAAAAAATCAGCTTTTGGACAGTAATTTAAGTGTATTCCTTATTATTATTATTATTATTATTATTAATTTTCCTTCATCTTTTCTTTCATTGGGTAACAGCTAAGAGGGCCTAGCAGGGTAGTTGATGGGGGAGCTAAGATCAATCGGTTCTCCAACCCGAGTTGGTTCGGTTGAGCCCAAGTGCTGAAACAAGAAATGTCTTTTTTGTCATCGAAGACACCAAGGCGCATTTTTATGTAAAGAAAGACACCTGGCCCGTTGAGAACTTAGGCGTTTGTAAACTTGCTGTTGATCCAAATCCTTTCAAGCCATGTAATCCATTAATTTTGTGGGCAGTTTAATAAACCTGAAACTTTTTTGTGTTTTTTATTGTATCTGAGTTGACTGTTGTTTCTTTTCATAGTATATTTCTTGTATGATATTTTGTAAAGCCCTCACTTGATTCTTTTATGGGGATTTTTCTTTTGGGGCAATTCCAGTGTATTTATGTGAAACTTTATAAGAGAACTAATTTTTTCCATTTGCATATTAATATGTTCTTCCACACATGTAAAGACACAGTGGCTCCGTGTGTTATAAAACAGCTGTATTTTATGTATGCTTTACTGATAAGTGTGCCAATAATAAACTGTGTTAACGACCAAAGCGAGTCTGGTTGTTTGTGAGCATGGGTGGAGAAATCTGCCCACAATTATGAGAAGTCTGGAGCTTGGATTTGTCACCTGACTACAAATGGAGTGGAATTGTGAAAGCTGTGCAGTCCTTTGTAAAGTCTGATTCCTTTCCTTACTCATTGCAGTTCGCTTGGGCAGATGTGGGGGTGCCTGCACTGTGCTGGGCACGTACTGGCTGAGGACACAACGATGAGCAAGGAGAATATCGCCTGTGCTTCTAAAGCTTGGCAAAGGCAAGAGCGGTGACTTCCACTCGCTGAGTGTTTATTCTGCACCAAACAACCCTACCTTAGGTCCACAGATATTATTTCAGCTAATCCTCAGAACTTCACAAAGTTGGCATTAATGTCTTCATTTTTAAAAATCAATGCCTTGCTTGCCTATTTTTCTCAAAAGTTGTTATGCAAGACTATGGCAAATTCACTTGAGGACTTTTTTGTTTAAAGAAATTCCCTCTTCTGTATGTTGGTAAACTGAACACCAATAAAAATTAATTTATTAAAAAAATAAATAAATAAAGTGTTGTGGTGCGGAAAAAAAAAAAAAAAAGAAATTCCCTCTTGTTTTTCCACTGTTTTCCACCAGTGAGGAATAGGAGAGATGAAATCTGTTAGCATTTGTTGGATGCGTATTAAGTTGGCACTTAATTAAATTGGTGATTTTAATTTATCATCTTGGCAAATTCTGGAAAAGGGAATTTGAAAAAGAGACGCTAAGGGAGGCCACGTGTCTTCGGGTGGGATTCCTAGAAATGGAGCCTGAGATCAGGATCTGGAGGCACAGATTACTGTTCATTGGGTAAAATAAAGGGAATCTTTCTCCAGGAAGTGGGAGGAATAGAATAGGGAAGGGGAAGGAGTTTATAAAAGCTATGGACTCATGTAGTCTACTTTCTGGACCTGGTCCATGAAGGGAGGACTCAGAACACAGACCCCACTGCAGAACTGTCTTTTCCTGAGCTAGCTAAGCTGCCAGACTTTTGCATATTTGTACCAGTCATTGGCTGGAGCCATCCCCAGGCTATAGGAGACTGTGCCCTTTGGAACAAGGTGGTCCCCATCAGTTCAGAGCAGTTCTGCAGAGAAGAAGAGGGCCATCTAGAAGGCAATAGTCATAGTTTCCTGGCATAGGTGTGCTGGTCTCAGAAAGGGCATCTTGGCAGGTCACAGTCTACTCCGTTAAGTGACTTGTCTCAGCTCATAATGCATGGGTGACATAGTTGGGATTTGAATCTGGATGTCCCTTGACTACAGAGCCTGCATCCTTTCTACAACATCTATACTTCTCTAGAATATTAGCATTTTGAGGAAAATGTTCAGTACAATAGCAAAAGAGCCAAAGGACATATAGGAAACCACTACTTTATTGCTTCTTATTGCCTCTTGAGTACCGCTAAGAGAACTTCTAGTTTATCCCACACCCAACTCGACATTTTACCAAGTCTTTTAAGTCATTACAGCTGATGCCTCGGACAAATTATTTGACACCTGTTCTAGTTTTCTATTGCTGCATAGCAAATCAACCCAAAACTTAGAGACTCAAGAGGACAATCTATTATTATCAGTTGCCCTTTTGAGAGCTCATCGGCCTCTGCTGGGTGGTCTGCACTTAAAGGCTCATCCATACTGGGGCTGGAGTCATCGGAGCCTTGACCTGGCTGAACAGACAAGATGGTGCACTCACACTGCTGGCTGTGAAGTAGGAGCTTAGCCAGGTCTGGTGACTGGAGTGCCTTCATGTAATCTCTCCACAGAGTTCTCACAGAATGTGGGTTCTGAGAGGGGGGTGTTCCAAGAGCTGGCATCCCAAATGAGGAGAAACATAGATTGCCAGGGCTGGAACTGACGAAACATCACTTCTTCTCTGTGCTATACATCAAAGCCGCCCAGATTCAAGGCCTGGAGGCATAGCCTCTACTCTCCAAGGGATAAGTGGTGTGTGCGTACAGAAGGGGAGAAACTGAGGGCAGCCATCCTCGAAGCAAACATCGACATCATCCAGTGCAGTTCACACCCTGATCCTCCCTTACCTTGCTGTTGTGCTTTTAGCCCCTCCCCACTTGCACTTGATTCGCCATCCAGGTAGGCTCCTCCCAATTTTCTGATTACAGCAGTTCCTCATGTCACAAGTGATTTTGCCTGTTCTTCCTCCTCAGAACGCCGTCCCCACCTCCTTACGTAACCAAAGTTCTTCATCTTTATTTTTTTTAAATTTTTATTTATTCATGATAGTCACAGAGAGAGAGAGAGAGAGAGGCAGAGACATAGGCAGAGGGAGAAGCAGGCTCCATGCACCGGGAGCCCGACGTGGGATTCGATCCCGGGTCTCCAGGATCGTGCCCTGGGCCAAAGGCAGGCGCCAAACCGCTGCGCCACCCAGGGATCCCAAGTTCTTCATCTTTAAAAGCCCAGCTTGATTTTCATATCTGCAGAGCTGCCTCTCCTGTTCTGGTCAGGGTCTCCCGGTCCCTCTGAGGTCCAAGAGACACTTGGCTCTTGCTTCCACCACAGCACTTTCCTTACAAGCTTCTGTTGATGCTGCTGAACACACCTCACTGTCCCATTAGACTTTCCCAGGTCTGAGCAGTTGAATCATTTCCACCTGAATTCTTAATATGTAGTTCTATCATACATGTTAATGAAACAGATACAGTTAGAACTCCCAAGCAAGAAATTATGAAACCACTGTGTAAAACTTAACAGGATAATGCCAGTTAAGTTTCACACAGTCTGTAATCCTAAGGCACAATGTAGGGTGACAGTTATCTCTGCAGGTATATAAGATGGTAATAGTAGGGTGGGTTCAAGTTTCTCAGGGGTCAAATCAACACACACACACACACACACACACACACACACACACAAAAACATTTCACAAGGCATTGGCCTAAGCCTAACTTCTATTATAGGAACCCCAAGAGATTTGTCATGCCCCAAATAATCCTAAGGGCAACCATTATTAAGTACACATTACATGTCAGTCACTTGCTAGGTGCTTTACCTGGGTGGTCTCAACCTGGGAATCCAAGAGTAGTGCATGAGCAAAATTATTTGCTTTGTAGAAATATCCTAACCTCAGCAGTTTACAACAACAAACATCTTATTTTTCTTACTCATGGCGCTGTGGGTCACCTAGGCCAATTCTGTATCAGGTCAGCTCCTCAGATCTCTTTCTGGGACAGTGGGTTCCCAGAGCATGCTCCTCTCTTGGTGGATTCTGGAAAAATTGAAAAGATAAGCCAAATCATCCACACCCATCTATTCTCCCTGTATCCGCTGGCCAAAGCAGGTCACAAAGACAAGCCCAACATCAGTTGGGTGGGGAGATCTACTCTGCCTCCTGCAAAGTCCTATGGCGAAGGGTGTGAATAAACAAGTGGGAATCTCATCTACCACTGGTGACCTACACATTGCCTGAAAAACTTCTAATTATATGCTAACATTTAAAAACTGATTTTCAAATTAAAATTTTCATGCCTCTCTTAACAAATCAAACCTAACAACAATTCAATTTCTGAATCCCTGGATGGTAACAGTTGGCTGGTGCCCAGTCATGGAGACCCTGCTTGGAGGCTCTTCAGTTTGTCACACTCAATCCATCTCACTAATTCACTTCACCTGCCTGGCTTCTACAGGCTATCGTAGCTATTACACTCATGCTCTCTACTCCTTAAAACCACATTTGAAAGTTAGCATTATGGGCTCCACTTTACAGATGTGATGACTTAAAGTTCAACCAGGTTAGTTGATCCCATTTGTCACACAGCTAGTAAGTGGTGAAGTGGGCTTGCAGGGACAAAGCCAGTGCTGCTTTCACTGAATCACACTGGTTTGATAGGATCTACAGTGGTGGTTATCCTCCGTGTGTTCGGTTAGGAATGTGACAAGCATGATAACATTGAATCTTCGCAATTTCCCTGTGGATGAGGTCAGGTTATCACCCCTCCTTTTGCAGATGATACTCAGAGCAGTTAAACAGTTTACCCAAGGTCACAGAGCTCACAGTGACAACATCATGTCACCTTGACCCTGAACCACTTTATCAGACTTACTCTCAGGTACACAGTCTGAAGGTTGGGTGTTTGGAGGTGCTTTCTGACCTGGGACAGGGGTCCTGGTATCCACCTTTCTACCTTTAGCTATGTATTTTCAGAGATTGTCAAAGAGGATGCCAGAGATCAAGAATTGCCACTTACCTGGTAATGGAACGAAGCAGAGAGTCCACCATTTAAGACCCTGAAATCTCAAGGGCATCTGACAAGAGATTTAGAAATAAGTGGCCAAGTCCCTGCAAGAAATTTTTTTCCCTTTCCATTTCTTCTTAACCTTGAGGTGAGCATTTAATGCAATAAGATAACACAAACTGCACTGATACTACATGGGGTGGGCTGTGATGGGAACAAGGCCAACAATTTCAGTGTCCCCAGATCGGGATTGGCAGGATCCTTGGGAAATTCATTTTATAATGGGGTACCCCTCCTTCTCCATTAAAAAAAATTACCAGCTTTTTTTTCTGAATAAATAATACATGTTTATTGTAGATCATTTGAACAAACATGAACGAGAAGAAAAAAAAAGTAATTCCACTACCCGGATGTAAGCATTGCTAATATTGTGATACATATCTTACCAGTTTTTTCTTCTTGGCTCATATACATTGCAGTGTTGATAAGATACAGAATAGACAATAATGTGTCCT